TTTTAAGAATAAAAAAAAAAAAAAAATTGCCAAGTAATTTAATATAAAATTCCAGATTTCTGACTTCTCTTTTTTAAAAAGATCAGATACAGCAATGCTGGGCCATTGTCACCAGGCTAGCCCTGCCTCTCACCCTCACAGAGCTGTAGCTTTCCTTTTGAGTTTGCACTTACGTGCAGATGGATGTGGACTGAGGCACAGTGCTTTTTTCACTTTCTCCACCTCAGTCACCACGGATATAGGAATGTGGACCCTAAAGCCAGATGTCAGAGTTCACATCTGGGCTCTGCCCATTCTTAGATGTCTGACTTTGAGCAAATTACCTCTCTGAGCCTCTATGAGATAGAACTAAGAGAATTTTCCTCACAGAGGTTTGTGAGAAGTAATACAGTGAATATAAAGCCCCGAAGTACCTGGCCTGAGTCTTGTTGTGGTTCCCTTTAAAGTGGAGCCTGAGACAAGGGCTTGGGTGCAAGTAGTATACTTGGAGGTCATCCCCACTGCGAGGGAGAGGGCAGGGAGAACAAGACGGGGGAGGCGGAGGCACGGGAATGGTGCATTAATGAGCTGGAGGTCATTGCGGGCAGCTGGGAGTCAGTCCTACCAGGACCCCTCTGACGACTCATGGGGAATTAGTCTCAGTGATAACCCTCCAACGGACAGGGGGCTGGGATGTTTACCCACTAACTCCTGGCTCCTGCTGTCATTAACGCCCCCCATAATTCTGAGGAACAGTCTGGGTAAGCACCCTTGACTGTGAGGTGCACACAGTCTGTGTACACAGGATTGTCTGCTGCTGCAGGAAGATTCTAGGTGCGCCGAAGGCATGCGGTCCAGACACCCAGAGCACCTGTGGTAGGTGATTACCAAGTATCTCTTAGAATCATTACTACAGAATATAGATTAGGTTCCCAGTACTTGCGCTAACCCTGAAGGGTTATCAGGGACTAGAATAATAAACCCAAACCAAACCATCTGCCATCAAGTCGCTTCTGACTCGTAGCAACCCTGTAGGGCAGAGTAGAACTGCCCTATAAGGTTTCCAAGGCTGTAAATCTTTATGGAAACAGATTACCACATTATGGTCTTACAGAGTGGCTGGTGGATTATAATCACTGACCTTTTGGTCAAGAGCCAAGCGCTTTAACCACTGTGTCACAAGGGCCCCTTACTACAATAATAGTATTAAGAATAATAATAGTAATTATTATCAAGAGTAGTATAAAACCCAACCCAACCCATCGCCTTGAAGCCTGTTCTGATTCATAACAACACTTTGTTACAAAGTAGAATTGAGCCCCTAGGGTTTTCTTGAGTGTGATCCTTCTTCTGTGGTGCTGCTGGGTGGGTTCGAACCACCAGTCTTCGTGATCCAGCAGACCTTTTGCACCACCCAGGAACCCTTCAGGAGTGATATGGCCTTGTTGTGTGCCATCGAGTAGATTGCGACTCATGGAGACCCTATAGGACAGAGTAGGACTGCCCCATAAGGTTTCCAAGACTGTGATCTTTATGGAAGCAGGCTGCCACATCTTTCTCCTGCAGAGCAGCTTGTGGATTCTGGCTGTTTAGCAGCCGAATGTTTTAACCACTGCGCCACCAGGACTCCTTAAAATAATAATTAAAAAAAAAAAAACCCAAACCTACCACCATTGAGTGAATTCAGACCCATAGTGACCCCATTGGGTTTCCAAGACTGTGAATCTTTACAGAAGGAGATTGCCTCATCTTCCTCCTGTGGAGTTTGAACTGCCAACCTTTTCGTTAGCAGCCAAATACTGCCTTGCCCACTGTACCGCCAGAGCTCCTTCCACGACTCCTTGAGAAGCATAATCACCATTTTCTGAGGACTCCATGGCAGGCACTGTTCTAAGGGCTCAACCTACATTGCCTTATTAGTCCTCATAACCACTCCATGAGGCAGGCCCCATTAATACTCCAGTTTTACTGATGAATAAATGAGGCTCTAAAACTTTAAATCACTTGCCTGAGGACGTGCAGCTAGGATGTGGCCCATTCCACACTGTCATAATTTCTTGAGCCTACATTGTGGGCAGTGCTCAGTAGCTGGTCATAAGAAGTCAGCCCTGTTGGGTTGAGCGCCCAGAATTGGAACATAGTCTGCCTGCCCCCTGCAGGTGGTGGGGAACATGTCAAGCCATCAGCCACTCCCAGGCCCCCCACATCCTTCCTTCCCACCTGGAGATACTCAGCTTCCTCTCTGTACCCTGCCTCCTGGTCAGACGCAGGGGAGGAATCCCAGTGGCTCCACCTCTGCATAGGGCCTGGGCTCCGGTGTAGCCTTAGTCAGACCTGCTCCCTTCTTACCGAAAAGCTTCAGGCCAGCAGGCCCGTGTTCGGTGGGAGATTTGGCGGCAATGTCGGCATCAGCCCAGCTGGTTGGGCTGGCACCCTGGGTTGTCAGAAGAGAAGAGGGATTAGGATAGGAATCGTCCTTGGGAGCCCAAGGGCCCTGCAGAGGATGTTCTGAGCAGAGACCGGGAGTCTAGCAGTCCCTGGAGTCCTGGTGGAGCCACCCGTTCCCCAGCCTCTGGAGCAGGATCCTCTTAATCTGAGATATGACGGATTCCTTTTGGGCCTTGAAGATTCCTGGAGCTCCTGGAATAAATTGTTATATATTCCTGTTTTCTCAGGGATCTGGTCTATTGCTTTGTCAGATTTTCAGAGCCATCTGTGACCCCAAAAAGGTTAAGAATCAGTGTTGTCAAAGCCTGATAATCTGACTTCCTTGGTGGTGAAGCCGAGATGCCAGAGTGCTGAAGCAGACAAAGGGAGTGATAGGAGCAGTAAGAGCTCAGAGGGGCCTGCATCCTCATTTGTTTCACACTCAGACATGTTCCAAAGCCAAGTAACTTATCTTTCCATCTCCTTGTTTCTTTTCCAAACAGAAATAGCTTAATTTTCCCTTTCTGATAAAGGATCATTGATAATCATGTAGGAAGCTGAAGCAAGTAAGAGTAACAAATATTGCCCCAAATGCCATTGTCCAGAGGCAGCCACTGCCAAGGGTTTGCTCTTGTCTTGCCAGACATCTCTCAGTGCGCACAAACACACATGCACATGTACACACACACACACACACACCCTAAATGACAATACCATAGAGTGTTCTTCACCTTGGCTGCATGTTAGAATCACTTGGATGGACAGACAGACGGACACACACACATACACACCACACACCCTAAATAATAATACCATAGAGTGTTCTTCATCTTGGCTATGTGTTAGAATCACCTGGACAGGTTAAAGAACTTACCCCTGGCTGCCTGCATCTGGTTTCCTAAGTGACTTTGGGCTTCTGCCTTTTTTTAACGCTCTCCTTGGGGTTCTAAAATGTAGCCCAGTGGAAACCGCTGGTCTTGAGTGCTGCTCTGTGGTGTGCTTACTTGACTCAGTGCTGTGCCCAGAGACTCCCTATCAGTGGTCAGAGCCACATGACCCTTTGAACCACACAGAGCTTCCCGTTAGGCAGTATCGTTTATGTTTCTGATTTCAGCTACGGAGTTGTTCTTGTGAGGTACCATCGAGGCGATCCTGACTTCCAGCAACCCACGTTCTCGGGTGGAACTGCTCCATGGGGTTCTCTTGGCCGTATTCTTTAAGGGGACAGATTGCCAGTCTTTGCCCTGTGGACCCTGTGGGGATTTCACTTATTCCTGGCTTCCTACTGTTACAAATAAGGAGCCCTGCTGAGCCAACAGCTAAGCACTGGCTGCTGACCGACAGGGTGGCCGGTCAAACCCACCCAGTGGCTCTGTGGGAGAAGGACCTGGAGGTCTGCCTCTGTAGAGATCACAGCCCAGAACCCCTGTGAGGCAGTTTCTGTCACGTGGAGTCACTATGAGTCAGAATCCACTCAGCAGCACCCCACAAACCCCTGTTACAAACAACTCTGCAGCGAGTGTGCTTGTCCATTCAGCTTTGTACATTTTATCAGTTATCTCCTTGCAAAAAATTCCTAGGTATGAGTCAGTCTTCACTTTAAATCCTGAAACATGCTGCAGACTGTCCCCCAGAAAGATGAACTAATTTACCATTCCCCCTTAACAACTGCATGAGAGCCCTAGTTCCCCACCTCTTCACCAACCTGGGAGCTCACGTGGTGTAGTGCCTAAGGCATTTGACTGCTAACCAGAAGGTTGGCGGTTCAAACCCACCAGCCACTCCATAGAAGGAAGATGGGGCAGTCTACTTCCATACAATTTACTGCCTCAGAAACCCAATGGGGGTCGTCGTACAGTGGGCTCGACTCAATGGCAGTGAGTTTGGTTTTTGTTGTTTTTCCCACCAACCCAGGAGGCCCTGGGGGGGGTGCAATTAACATGCTCCTCTGCGAACTGAAAAGTTGGAGGTTCATGTCCACCCGGAGGTGCCTCAGAAGAAAGGCCTGGCGATCTTCTGAAAATCAGCCGTTGACAGTTCTTGCTCTGACACACATGGGGTCTCCATATGTTGGGATCAACTCAGCGGCCATTGGTTTACTGGTCCACAACCTTGAGTGTTGTCAGACCATTTGCTGTTTGTTTGTTTTGTCTTGTTTTGGGTTCTCCCAGGTGTATCTCTACTTCTCTATTTGTGGAAATTAAAAAAGGTACTGAAATCACTCCAGAACCAAAATTCACCTGGGACAAGGCAGGGCAGGCCCCCGGCAAGGCCAGTTGCGGCAGAAGGCTACTTTGGATGGAATCCTGGCTAGGACTCCCTTTGTTCTACAAACCCTTGCCTTCTGGCTGGGAACCTCCAGGCATGCTCCCTTGCCATGGTGAGAAGAGCTGTTGGCATCTTTGGTGCTGACCTCGGCCAGCTTGTATTTTTTGGGAACAAGGCTCCAAGGGGGGCCTTACCCTGGTACTCTTGGGTCTCAGCATACTCAGTACCCAGGAGCTATGGTTGGCCCGTTTCTCTTACATCTTACCTTCCTGCCAGATTCTCGGGCTCTCCTTGAGAATATCCCAACATCACTGGAGGGAGAGGGCATTCCCTTGACTAACCTATGGCTCTGCAAAGCCCAGCAGCCTCTGCTCCCATATTTCCTTCCCCAAATGAGCCCCCCACCAGGCTACAGGACTTCTCCAGCTTACTAAGCATCAACAAGACATGAGATATGTGATGAAAGATTAAAATACACCGAGAGATGTAGCACCTCTGATCACATCTTGGAAAGCGTTAACAAGGCACATGAATGTTCACCTTCCAAAGGAGCAAGAGAGAGAAGTGTTCTTCCTTCTGTTAGAATTTGGCCTCTAAGATCTCACTGGCCCTTTGTGCCCTGAGGAAGGTTCTGATTTGGAGTCTGGGGCAGGGCCAACCTAGCCAGACAGGAGAATGCTGGCATTTGACCTATGAACTTTGATTCCTGTGAGGACACACATAGGAATGAGCCCTGCTTGGCTTTTCAGAGCTGACCCGGGTCCGATGGTGTTACTCTGGCTTCTTGAAGTTGTAAGCAATATAACATCCAATTTTGAAGCAAAAAAAGGAATAGGGATGAAGGAATGGTTCGATTCGGGAGGCTCAGACAATGACAGCATTTGGTCCCATCTCTCTCTTGACTCTTGGCGTCACACAACCCACAGCTCCAAGGTTGCACTGAGTCCCAATACAAAAGAGGTCCACTTCCCAGGATGCTGCAGCAAAAATCCTAGGGCTACCTCGGATGAGACCCAATTGCCCTTCCCTGAGCCAGTTAGCGTGGCCACAAAGATGGGATGCCCTGATTGGCTAGGCCGAAATAAAGGGTGCCCTCTCCCTCCGCAGGCCAGGAAAGAGGTAGTTCTAGCCAAGCTCAAGGGCCTAGAACTGGTGAAGGGTGTTCACCAGAAAGCCACAAGTAGCCACCACGGAGAAGGCCCCTCTGGCTGGGCTTTCCGCAGGTGGGCAGCAAAACCAGCATTTGTCTCCGAAGAGGAAGTGTTTGGAATGAGATTCGTGCACCCCAGCAGGCCAGGTCTCTGCTGTGTTGTCTGGTCTTAAGCAGGTCTGCGCTAGAAGCTGAGGAGCTGGAGTCCATGGATTGTCTCCAGTTTACCTGGTGCTGCTCCCCAACTCCCCTTCTCTGCTTTCTGGGAAGGGCATCTCCTTGCTCAGCACAGAGTGTAACAGACTTCTTGAAGGCTTAGAGATGCTAAAGGGTTTGCATGAGTATGTCTTGGAACATATGTTCCCCACCCCACCCCAGCGCCTTTGGTCCCATCCTGCCAGTTGCCACTGAGTCGATTGTGACTCATGACAACTCCAAGTGTCAAGTGTCAGAGTAGGGTTTTTTTTGGTTGTTGTTTTTTAATAATATTTTATTGTGTTTTCAGGAAGGTTTCACAGCAGTTATGTTCTCATTCAGCAATTCTATAGGGTTTTCAATGGCTGATATTTTGGAAATAGATCACCAGGCCTTTCTTCCAAGGCACCTCTGGGGAAAATCCAACCTCCAACCTTTTGGTTAGCAGATGATATGTTAACCGTTTGCTTCACCAGTGGTCTCTGAGCTAGCCCTTAAATTCAAGTTCCTTCTAAATAACTAAGTGTGATGGTAAAAAGCATACCAGAGGTAGGTATGTTGTGATGCTTAAGAGCACAGAGTCTCTGCCTGGGTTACAGTGCTGCTTTTGACACCTACAAGCTGTGTGACCTCAGGCAAGTTACTTCACCTCTCCGTGTGCCATGTGAAATGGGACTAATAAAAGTAACCTATCATATTTTGAAACTGGGAGCTCTGGTGGCCTAGTGCCTAAGGCACTTGGCTGCTAACCAGAAGGCTGGCAGTTCAAACTCACTGGCCACTCCTCGGAAGGAAGGTTGGGCAGTCTACTTCCATAGCGGTACCTCCTTGGAAACCCAAGGAGTGGTCGCTATGAGTTGGATCCGACTTGATGGCAGTGTGTATCATACTTTGAAAATTGAGTGCATTACTGTATGTAAAGTACTTTTCACAGTGCTTGGCCCCTGGATGCCACTCTCTGAAGGTTACTTAAGAGTATCAGAAAATTATGGTCCCTGCCTCAAGTAATGTGTGGAAAAAACTTAAGCTCTTTTGCTTCATTTAAGCCAGAAAAGTGACTTCCTTCAAGGAGTACTTTTAAGTGAGGCTTTTCTCAGCAAAGCAGTATCAGTGCTTCATTGACAATGAACATGGTAGTGATACCATCCCACAGCTGAGACAGACTTGTGTTTCGATCTGGCTTTTCTTTATGAAAAAGGAAATTTAAATCTTGAATATTACAGTAAATGAGAAACTGCTACGTATCCACCTCCCTGATGTAAAACTTGCTGACACCTTTGGCCATCTTTGCTTCAGATTTCCCTTTTATATTTCTTTAGAGAAAAACTTGCACCTGTTGGGGAGTCCCTCTGTCCCTGCCTTGGCCCTTTGCAGTGAGGATGACCCTATCATGCACCTGATGCCCCTGTTCTTAGAATTTCCCACCTGTGTGTCTCCAGAAACAGTGCCAGTGTGAAAGGGTGTGGTGGTGCGCTTTACACGGATGGCATCTGTGTATGACGAGGTCTTTTGTTGCGAGGCCTTCTGAGTGATGCCGAGGCATGTCCTTATCACCGTGGCCTACAGGGGCTGCATGGGGAAAAGGCGTGCACTGACGGTGGCATCTCAACCCTGGGCCTCCTTCCTCCCAGGGTGGCCTGAGCTCTGAAGTCCACAAACTTCCCAGCCCCACAGAGAGCCCGAGAACAAAGCCCCTTTGTGGCTTTTGTTTTGAATCGGGCTTGTGACAAAGGGGAGGAGTAAGTTGGGGGTGGATGCCTGGAGAGTGGTGTTGATGCAGGGGAAGAAAACAGAGGGGAAAAATTGTGTTTCTTTTTTGGTGTTGTGTTGCCTCCCTCCCTGTCCCTCCCTCAGCTCTCCGAACAGCAGGATTTCGCAACGGCAGCTTGGGAAGCAGACCCAGCGCTCCGTTCAGAAGCAATGTTTATCAGCCAACTGAGATGGCCGTTGTGCTCAATGGTGGGACTGTAAGTATCAAGATGTGATGTGTTGACAGGAAGCCTAAGAGAGTACAGTGTTGGGGAACAGCTTCGACGGGGAGACCGCTCTGGGAGGCTGCCGATGCGGCCCGCGAGACGGCAGCTCCCGTCGACACCCCTTGCAGCTAGAATGCATGCCATGCTTATATACGTCTTCTTTCCCCTCACCACCCCCTTTCTGCACGCACGTAAAAATCCACCTTTACTTAGCTAACCATGTGCAGACTCAGTTCAGAGAGCCCACAGTTATTGAGGGCTGTTGCAGTCAGTGTGAATTACTTGGTTTTTACTGTACTTCAGCCCACCCTCACCCTGGGAAATGACTCTTTTGGAAAAGCCTAGAATTAGGAAGCCCTGGCAGATTCTGCTGACATCCAGTCTTGTTTGGGTACCGGGCTCCCCACCCCTCACCATCCCCACTCCCTAAGAGAGATCTTTAGAAATTGAAGATGCTCCCGTCTGTCTACTGGGAACACACACCAAAAACAGGGAGAGGCTTACTATCTGATGCCAAACAGACCTTCAGTATAATTGTCATCATTTATGCTTTGCCTCTGTGGAATTACATCATTTTGTTTCTCCAGCAATCCAAAAATGCACTCTCATTCCCACCTTTATTTTCCAAACATAGCTACATGCTTCTTTGAGAAATGACGCATGAACCAGTTTACATGTGTAAATTGGATTTCCATTCTTTCTGTCATGTGCTACATAACTCACCCTGAGCATTTTCTTTTCATGTAACTCAGGGACGGTCTTATACCTCTAGAGGGAAGCCCTGATTTTATCTGGGACCTTAGGTTTTCGTGGCCTTTTGGATAGCATGTGAGGCATTGGTTTGGAAAGGGCTAAATGACCAACAGACTCACAGATTTGCAGTTTCAAGACATCCTGTCATTCATGGGGCTGGTTTACTGGCAGGTGCCAAGAAAAGCTGAGCCCCTGACTTACAAGCATTTGGCCTGGATGTTAGACTAAATACGGTTAGGAAACTGCTCATGCATTACTCGTAAGTCCTCCTGGTCCCTTTCAGGACCCTGTGCCAGGTCAGGAAACTTGTGTTCATTAGAGGTGATTCTAGAAAAAGGGGATGGCCTTTATGAAAACACGAGCAGTATCACACAGTGGCTGCTGGTTGTCTTGGGGATATTCAGCCCGTCTGGGTAAAAGCGAGTTAATCTATCTGCCACATTGTTAATGAATCGGTTTCTATGTTGACTTTGCCAAGCACAGAGTTCTTAGTGTGTTATCCTTGTTTCCAGATCCCAACTGCTCCGCCAAGTTACACTGGAAGACACCTCTGGTGAAAGACTTTTAAGTTCCAGAGAATAAGAATCCCTCTTACTGATTTTATTCCCTGGTCGTGTCTTTCTTGAGGGAGAGATCAGTAACAGTAGCTGAACAAGGCCGCCTCACAGCCAGGAGATGTGGAAATCCTAGCTAAGGGGATTTCGTGTAAATGTGAACACTGCTGAACTGAAAAGCTAACACCGACTCCCCTCCCCCGCCTGACCCACCACACATACACAAACACATAATACCAAACCAACCTCAATCCCCGCAAACTAAAGCAAAGCTAATTGCAAATAGTATTAGGCTCACTCGAAAATGTGGCTGGGAAGAAGAGTTCATCCTCTGGGGGTCGAACAGAACCAAATTCACAGCTGGTGGGCCAGGCTGGTGTTGGTGGAATGCCAGGGTCCCCCACCACCCTCAGCCAGTGCTCCACTCGCAGGGCCTCTTGGAGATGGCCCTTCCGGTGAGGAGCGCTGATGGGAAGCTTCCCGCCAGCTGCCTGTGGTTTACACATTTCATGGGGGTCAGGAGCAGTTAAGGAGGGTTATGAGTATGAGTCCAGGACCAGGCCCAATTAAATTGTGGGATGAGCTGTATAACCAGTGTTGGGCAAAGGACCCAGGCATGTGCCAAAGAAGAGAAGGTTATCTGGGTGTTTCATGTGACCATCGAATTTAGAAAATGGTGGCCAACCAGTGTTCCTTCAATGGGACTCTTCCCTAGTGCCTATGGCAAGAAAGCGAGCCCTGCCCCCTCCCTGGTAGAGGTGAAGAAGTACTCTGATGTGGAGCAGCAGCTGGAGATGGCTCCAAGCCATCCTTTCTTCCTTTGATCATCTCTCCCTCTCCTGCACTTACTGGTACTTCTCCAAGCGCTTTCTTAATTTTATTGTCATGTTCACTATAAAAGCTCACATGGGGCCACCAGCTTGAAGACCCCTGGGGGGGCAGGATGTCACATGGCTGGCTTCCCTGGTGTCTCTGGAGGGTCTGCCATGCCACGAATTCTCAGGTCTTCCCCATGGACCAATAGTGCGAGTTCCAGGCAGAGTGGCTCCTGTGTGTGTGTGGGAGGGGAGTGTTTGTTACTGCTTTTTGGAGGGTGTGTGGGACATTCTTCTCTTGGTTTTCTGCAGTTTTCATGAAAATGGTTCTCAAAGCCCATTGTTCCTGTCATGGTTTCCATCTGTCCTAAGCAAATCATTCCTTTGTTATGTGGCATTTCCAACATCTCGGCCATTAAAAGCCCCATGTGCTCTGCACTGTTTGGCCAGCATAATCACTATTGAGGAGTGAAAGCAAAGGGTTTAACCTGATGGCACGGACTGTATGAATGAGGGTGGGTCCTTCTGCATATACTCTGATCACTGTATTGCTTTGTTCTGTAAAACAACCCATAAGCCTTTAACCTTTATAGAAAATGAAAAAGGGTAGTGTTTTGAGGGGCGATGACCTCTTCATAAGCCAACACATCTGAGCTGAGTATGTTTTAATAAAACCACCTGATTTTTCTCAAGGCCTAGTCTCTGCTGTGTCCCGTCTCATCCCCTCCCTGTTGTCATGCTTGCAGGGCACTGGAGGAAGCGAGGCCAACCTGGCCATGCCAGCTGTGGCCCTCCTGCCAGTGTCCTCCCAGCTTAGTGCATTTCCTTGTACGCCTGTGCATGGAAAAGAGGAAGCATGGCGCCAGAATGTCGCCCCTACTTAACTTTGGCAGGCACCCCTGCCCCCGCCCAGAGCATGTGCTTGCTTCTAGAAAATCAAATTTCAGTCCTCTGTAGATTGACATTGGGTGGATTGAAAACTTGCCATGTTAGGTAAGGGGTGGGAGGGCAGGACACTAGGACTTGGGGTAGGGGGCCTGGGGGAGGGGGGGTTGCATGCAGAGCCAGTATCCTGGAAAGTGAGAGATCTCCGAACACCTCAGTCCAATCCAGTGAAAAAACGACAGCCTTACGCATTCTCGTGCCAGGCAATGGCTGCTCAGCCCCGTTCCCTGGAGTCCTTTGGAGCTCTGTGATCCCGCCAGTGACTCAGTCTGCAGGCCTCCCCCTTGCAGAGGGAGCCATTTTTCTCAGTTTTTTGTTGCCCAGTGTGCAAGGTGAGCACCGTCTAAGTGGCGACAAGTGGGAAGTAACCTTTCACCACCACAAAAATGGAACCATCTTTAAGCCACGGGAAACTCAATGAGATGCCCCTCCCCATTTTATCTCTAGTATGTTATCACACTTTTGGGTTTTATGTTGGTCTTAAGGCCGAGATTGGGCTCTGGCCTCACAACTGTGGTGGAGGCAGGACTTGATGGGAGAAGGGAGAGAACTGTTATTTTTCCAGTGACTTCACCTGATGAGTGCAAGGAGCCATCTTTGCCAGAAGATGGTCTGCAGCTGCCAGCTGCCCCCATGGAGCGGATTTAATTGGCACCTCTGTTCAAGACGTTTATGTAAACAAGGTTTGTTTGGGGAAAATGATTGGAAGGAGAGTATCTGTGATCGAAATACCTAATTGTAAGCACAAATTGGTGTCCACTTGTTAAAATCACTTTAGGACTATAACAGCCACTCTGTCCCCCCTTTTCATGGAAGACTCATTCCATCCCAGATTTCTCCTCTGGAGATGGAGGTGGGATGGGGAGTGAGGGAAGAAGCTCTGAGAACTTAAAAACTGGAAAGTTCTGCGTGTCTCAGTGGTCTCCGGCTCTTAAGGTGCAGTGGCTGGAAGTTGGCGGTCCAGTGCTTTCATCACAGACTCCAGCAGGGCCCCCTGAACCAGAGTGAAACTGGCATGGTCTTCAGTCCACCACTTCTTGGTTGGCCAACACTGAGTTGAATGTCTCGGGCCACATCCCACTGGAGGGGGCATTGTGGCTTTTATAATCCAGTGATGTGACGATCACACCAGCTTGCGGGAGTTCTCAGCAGGTGCTTTTTATTAATTAATAAAGAGCTAAGGCTCGGTTTTGATAGATAATATATATTTATTAAATGTATTAATGTGTGTTTTATAATGTTTCTCCTCCCTTGGCTGACTATTGCATACTTATTTTAAAAAAAAAAAAAATTGTTAAAGAAATACCAAGACAATCAATTGTACACAAATGACTATATAAAATTACAAATTTAAAAGGTTGTAAAGCATGGGCAGATAGGTTTTATTTTCAAAATGCTGTTCTTAACACACAAATAAAGGCTTTACTATTTACTTAAGATGTGTGGTAGCTTGTCAAAACAACCTCACAGGACTACGAGGCTTTTGAATCTGCCCTGAGGCTGAGTCTGGCATTTGGAACGGGAGAATTCTGATGAACAGCAAACCGCACAGCAAATGAGGGCAGTAAGTTACCTTCACACATAAAATGAGGAACTTTCTGTAATAATATGGGGCCGAGACAATAACTATGCTCTCTCTGTTGTTACTGTCTGGGTTTAAATGTCTCATCTTGTTGAGTTTTCAGTAAAAGTTAAGAGCTTGTCTCCTTTGGAAATAATCACAGGCAATGATGGCTTTTTAAAATGAAAATAGTCATGAACTGAAAACCACATTTAGAGATTGAGGTTTAATTGCAAAGGCAGCTGGGAAACTGGTACCAAGAGCGCTTCAGTGTCTTAGAACTAGAGGTCAGTGTGTGTTGTAATGGTGGTTGGTGTAGACGAGCCTCTAGAAGTCTTATGGAAATAATCTGGATGAAAGACTGAAATTTTTGGATTTATTTGCAGAAAGTCAAGACTTCTGTACTTTCTTCTGATAAATTATTTATACTAAATCATGTTTTTGGATAAGGCATTTGGCTGCAAATCGGAAGGTCAGTGGTTCAAATCCACCAGATGCTCTTAGAAGGAGGGGGCGACAAGTTTAATCCATAAAGATTTAGAGCCTCAGAAACCCAGTGGGGGTTGCTGAGTCAAATTCAACTGAATGGTTTGGTTTAATGCATGTTTGCAACGAATACTCCCTACCTGCGTGGAAAAGATTCCATTTTCTTGTGTACCAAGTCATGATTAAAACAGTCACAGTAGAGGAAGCATAATTTGGACATTTTATTTGCTTGGGGTACTTGAAGCTCAGATAGGAAAAACCTCAGTAGTGGTTAAGGTGGTGGAATCGTAGCTCAGCTACTTCCTCATCCTCCATTTTGCATTTCACTGCCAAGAAAGGAGAGCAGAAAGTCAGAATTCATTTACGATTTTATTCTCCGTCTAGATAGACTTGTCCATTGAAAATGAGAAACTTCTATGTAATGGAAAAGGCCAGTTGTGCCAAAACCTACCGAGCAAGTCCAGTGGTTCAAGGCCCTATGGATCCACCAGAGAAGAACACGGGGCCATTGTCCTCGAGGGCAACACCGGAAGTTTCAAAGCCACTTCAAGTCACTCAGTTCAGGAAAAGGTCAAAAGTGTGCTTTGCAGGTTGGGAGGAAGTTTTACTAAAAGATGATGACAGATTCCAAGCCCAACTCAACCCAATCTGTCACCACTCACCCTGTTCTCCCCGTAAAATTAAACACTGTGTATCACTGGGGTCAATGGCAAGGTCAAAGAAAATCTTTTCTGGTCTGTCACAGTTGGGCAAGAATATGATCCAGGTGATTTCCTGAGTCTGCCAAACAGGAAAGTTTGCTCAACAGGGTATGGCCCTGTTTGTGACAGAAATTAATCCCACATAGATAAATCAAAAAAACCAGACTCACTGCCATCGAGTCAATTCTGACTCAGTAATCCCCACTGGGTTTCCAGAACTGTAAATCTTTACAGAAGCACACTGCCTCATCTTCTGTGAAGTGGCTGGTGGGTTTGAACCACTGACCTGGTTAGCAGCCAAATGTCTCAACCACTACACCATCAGATCTCAGGAAATAGATAAAAAGCCCTCCCAAATAAATGAGAATGCTAGCCCTGTGGAGGGGAGGTCCCTTCAGAAAGACCCTCTTTTTAATTCTGTTTTGCCACTAGTATTCAAGTGCTTGCCTGATGTGTGACTACCTGAAAGCTTATTTCTCTGTGAGGTCACAGACTGATTATTTAGGGAAAGCACTGTTCTAGCAGGATGTTTTGCCTTGTTACCAGGCAGTAGGGAGGTTTCATTCAAGCCTGTCTGATGACCTCT